TAATTTGAAATTATATTGTTTATTTGTTCTAGTAGAATAAATACTCGAAAGGAAAATATCTTTGAATAACAAACTTCAATTAAAAGAGTAAATGGATAAACAAACAATAATAAATATATAATTGGACAAGTATACTCAATATGTATTTTAGTATAGTTATCACTGATAATATTAAAACGTATTAAAAATGTTTATGGTCATGAAATTGTAATGGATCTGTAAACAATGAAGTTGTATAATATATACATTATTTTCAGTTTTAAATTATCGAGTGCGAGTGGACAAACAATATTGTCTTAGTGAGAGTTACAGCGTGAGTAATGTGCAATGTAAAATGCGTGTGCTGCGACGATGTATCGGATAAGGAAGTGGTAATAAACATAGATGTGTATGTATTTATGATTATATTTTATGACGTTGGGTTATTTACATCGTATGCACAATGATCGATGAGCACAGAAAGAAAAACATATTGCTTACAGCCAGACCAAAACAAAATAACTAAAATGTACAATCTTCTTACGGCGTTCAGCAGAATTTACGAGCTGATTTGTATTTTGTTCTTTTTGAATATAGAATATACCGAAGAGATGGATAGAAATAAGTTGAATAATTAATCCGGTAATCCGATTCCCAAACTATGCGAAAAATTCGCACTGAGATAAAGCAATGTTTTGACTTGGGGCGCCGGGGAAATTCTGATATATTAAGGGCGTCGCAAACCGAAAAGGTTTGGGAACCCCTGCGTTGCATCAGTTATTTAAACTTGCGTGTTTGCAGCGGATTAACAAAAAAAATATATAGTGTGATTTACATCGATTAATTCAGCCGGTTCGGTCGGTGCTCCGAGCATAATTAAAGCAGTGTTAAACTGTAACTCAATTAGCAATTTAGCCTGAATTTCACGTGCGAACATAATAAAATCAGGGGGTGGTGATGAAGTTTCCGTGGAACGTTTTCGCGCGTCTCCGAATCGCGTGCTATGACTGTAAATGTGTGAGCTCGCATTATTTTCATTTTTTGTCTTTTTCCTTCTTCGTTTTTAATTAATCAGAAAGCAAATGTTCGGTGGTCGCAGAACACGTGACGACTATAATGCGCGAGTTAAATTAAAATTTTCCATTAAGTCAAAATGACCGCTGAGCCACCCTCTGCAGATTGCATCCCTTTCGGACTTTGCTCGACTGCGGAGGACAGTCCATCGATTTCGGATCGGATTAAAATTAAATAACGTCGCGCGATATCGTGACGGAAACACTCCCACAATTTCATTCTATCCTGCTACGTGCAACTATATTTTGCTTCTGCCCTCCAACCGGATATATCGACCACGTCCTTTACAATTTATACGACTTCGCTCCATTTCTACCACTACACAGCTTTAAAACAATTCGTTTGGTTGACACATTTCAGAAACTAAAGAACAATTTCAACAGTCCTACCACAACAAAAAATGCAATAGGAAGTCGTATCTATTTGAATAAAACATACAAGAATAGATAGGGAATTATGAAAACAAATCTTATTCCAATATTTGACGTAATTATTGTAATGACTTATTAGGTTAGCCGTCATGTATTGTTTTTTTTGCCATTTTTTTCTGATTAGGTTATGTCAATTTTCATTTGACTTTTGTGTACAATTTGTCAAAATCAGTTTTAAGAAATCAGTAATAAAATAAATTTGAGATCGTTTTAATAAATCGTCTTATAATTTTGATTTAAAAAGTCTATACGTATTATACGTCTGAAAGTCAATAAGAATTTGAATGTTTCAGTTTAGAATTGAATTTTAAAATTTGATTATTTTCCTTCAGAAAACCGAAACGTATTTAAAGTGCTATTTTTTCCATTGCCCGCAATCCGCTGGAAATTACGTAACGTTTCCCGTTTCTATCTCAGTTACTTGCTTACGGTTTTGGGGAATTCGTTAATTAATTAACCACGTCGGTTGGGGAAATTGTGCGACCAAACTTATCGTTTACATTCGTGCGCGATCATCAAAAAGTTTTTATTTGTTTATTTCTGGTTTCTTTATTTATCGCATGGGCATAGACTGAAAATGGGAAAGAACGAAATGGAGAGAATAATCAATTACAAAAAATTGTATATAAATATGTAGAAAATCCGATGTTTTCATAATTTTCATGTACACGAAACGTATGCAAATCGGACGACGCACATTTCGGTCAATCGATAGTGCGGTTCCTTTGTTTTCGCGAACGCCATCTTGCCTTTGCCGTATCTCTTTCAATCACAAATCTGACATATGTTAATTTGATATTGACAGTTGCTGCCAGCTTATTTTGGTTTGCAAAAATGCGTAGAGATGAGCGTTATTGTTATTTCATTATTCTACATTTTCCGAACATTTGGCTCAAATCCCTATTGTCGCATTTGGCAGACCGAAAATGTAGATCGATAAGCTTTAACTGCATATGGACTTTCTATTACATTTCACTTTAAGTTATCTAAGCAATCAATTTTCCAACTGGAAGGAGAAAATACATGACAGTAAAATCACTTTTATTAGACATTATGCATAGAAAACTTAAGAATACAGTATTTTCAGAAGAAAATTGTAAATAACAGAGATAAATAAGTCATCACATTTGCGAGAAGTGAGTGTGACTCAAAATACTGTGATAAAACGTAGATGGGCGGAATGTATCATATTCCATCTGGAAATTTGAAATTCGATTCGTGGAAAGTTCGGTTTATTTAACAATCCGAGCAGAAACGGTGCGCGTTTATTTGTTCGCAGATTAAAAGCGTTCGCGAATTCTTCCGTCCTTGCACAGTGTGAGTTGGCGCAAACTGTTGCAAAGATTTTCCAAATCCGATCTGGATGTAAAAAAAAGATATAAACAATTTCACTTTCACTCTTTATCAGTCCGACGTCGCGAAACCGACATACACGCACAATGAAAGCTGAATAATAATTACAGCTTAGTCTTAAAAAAAATAGTAATTTAAATAATTTATTTAATTCTACAATATATTATACAAATCCATTATACTTTGACTAAAATAACTGTAATGTATAGAAAAAATAATATTTTTTTGTGATTCAAAAATGTTATAAATAATATCAAATCACTTGAAGATCCATTTAATATACAGTGGAACCTCGCATAACGAGTATTTCGCTTGACGAGCAAAATGAATTGTAAGAAAAATGACTCGCTTAACGAACGATGTATCGCATAACGAGTGACCAAGAGAAGAGAAGTCCCGGATTGCGCGTCTGCTACATCATTTTTAAAACTTGTGTACACATATGTGTATTTTTGAATATGTTTCAGAAATCCGGAAATTTAGTAACGGATTAAACTCTTTAAGCGAGGTTCCACTGTGTTATAAAAAGTCTTCATTTTATATAAAAAAAAACCACGAATGTCTATCTAGGTAAATCGCATCGTTTATTCATATTAAACTGTTATAGTTGCATGTGTTTGCGTTCGTTCTGCTGAAAAAAAAACGATTAATTTTCAAGGATTCCTGTCATATACATATATTTTTTCTGTTGTTGTTTCTACCGTGCTATTACCTGTTTGGATAGTCTCTAAACCTGGCGTTTCTATCGGGGAAAAGTGCATAGACTAAACGTGTTTTCGTAGGCGTTCTCTCCGAACCAAAACATAATACGCAGCAATTATATTGGCGTAATTACGTGTAACGACTGTAAATCGTTTACCCATTCTTCGTTCCGACAATTATTCAATATTTTCAATCATTCCCTCGCTAATAAAAAAACAAGCTAAGATTTCTTTACATTGTAAGTTTTGATTTATACACGTCTTTCCCAGCAGGATTAAATTTCATCCATAATTATATAATTTTTTTTTAATAGAACTTACGCAATTCTAAAATTAAACACTGAAAAAGTTGTTTTTAAATTGTCAAATACAACGGGAATCCAATTTACATATTTTTAACATTACAAATATTTCCAAAATAGTAAACAAATGTTTATCTGAAAATTTCTTAACTGTTATCAAAAAATTATTCACAATTGAGGAATTTTGCGGTTGACTTGCGAAATAATGAATATTTAATTTTCAACAATAATTATAATAAATTATATTTTTCAGTAAACATTATTTTTCATTCAATTCACGTGAAAAATAGTAACCTGCTTCTAAAATCCACCACGTGTAGGTCATAAATTATATATTATAGTTTTGTAGTCACTGATTTTGACTGAATATAACCTTAAATATCTTACGTCAATTACAAAGCTTAAGATAAAATTAATAAAAGTTTAAGTTTGTAATTGACGTAAGATATTTGACTTTTCACTCAGTCCATAGGTGTCTACGAAAAATTTTCTCGCACCAGACAAACCGATTTGCGCCGATCTTAACGTGTTAAGAAATCGAAACATTGACATTCATTGCCATTATTTTCATTCAATTAAAGATAATTTGTATTATTTGAAACGGAGGAGTTGTACATATTTTAAAGTGACAGCTAAAACGTCAAAGTCGTTAACGTAAGCGAGGCAATTGTTATTAATAACTTGGGGATTTTTTATGCAATTTTGTTTTTGTCGCACGAAATACTTGAGATTACACATGATGCCACTCGAGCTAAGTACACCCAAGATATGCAAGTATCAAGATTAGTACTTCCTTTTCATGGCACAATTTTCATTGTGAACATAGTTTCCAATTAATTATATTGGATACATTGAATATTCAGTATACAATAACACCAAAAATGAAAATGTAAAGCAGGATATATGCTTTAAATTATGTAATTTCATTTAAATTATATTAATAATATAGTGGAACCTCTCTTAACGATCATCCGTTCCGGATTTTTACTTGTATAGTGAACAAATTTCCTCATATAATTTTCCATTTTGCGAGTCATTTTTCTTACAATTTATTTTACTCGTTAAGCGAAATGCTCGTTATGCTAAGTTCCAATGTATATATATTTTAAAAGGAAAATGTCATTGTTTTAATGTTTTTTTTTCTTCTTTTTTTTTTAAAGGAAATATCAGTGCAATATTTACGTACAAATGGAAAGGCGAGGAGTTGGCGCGATTAGCAGAGAACGACTCAAAAGTGCTGGTACACATCACAATCGCAGATCACACGTTGAGGGTAACAACAATAAACAGGTAACGTATTTCACCTATTTTCCACGGTACACGAGAAAACATATAACGGATCATTACTTGTTTATATATATTTATTAGAAAAAGATTGTTTGTTATCATTATTATTATTGGCCATTATATTCTGTGCTTGTGAACGGGACGAGTGAATGACCTTTCGCTAACGTAACAGTTTTATTTCATAAATGTCCCATAGGTTGAACCATTATTCTATTTTTACAGTTTTCACGGTTACATTACATGTTCGTTTTTCTATAATTTTCTCATAAAAAAAATATAAACTGGTTTTTGATAATTACAGATTATTTTGTTCACTAAAATTAGATTTTTTTTTTAAATATCGCATATTTTATAACAAAAGTTTAAAATAATCAGTCAACCGAGACGGTATGCTTTTCTACGTTTTTCTACACATCCCATTCATTGGGTTGTCCTTTACATTTTTTAAGTGCAAAATGAGGACGCTGATCAAAAAGTTTGTGAAACACTGATTTAACATATAATATCTAAAATTTAATATTTTTGTTAGTTGAATAATAATTATATTTATTGAAATAATAAATTACAAAATAAATAAAAAGTCAACACCTGCAAGGTCTATTGCCCTTCTGTCAGTTGATTTAGATATAAAAAATAAAAATATGATACAAATAATTTAATCTATCTAAATTTGTAATACTTAATGGAAACTTCAAATACGTTAACATAAAATGGCCGACATTAACAATCAAAATGGCCTACTTGTCAAATGTAACGTAACGTAAAAAGTGACGTATAAAACTTCAAAAAAGTTACATTGTAATAATTAAGTTTACGAATTGAATATCAATAATGTAGACCAGTGATTCTTAAAGTCTGGGTCGCGTAAAATATTTGGGGGGTCGCAAAAAAAATTAATGACAGATCAATCCTGGTTGTTTTTCTACACATATCCATTCTTCGGGGGGTCGAAGAAACTTTGTACGTCCAAAAGGGGGTCCGGACAAAAAAGTTTGAGAATCACTGATGTAGATAATTTAAACTAAGTAAATTTGAAAGAAAAAAAGTTTTTAAACTATTTATATTCATAATTAATATGAAATAATTTTACTTTGATATTAATAAATAAATTGCATTTCGTAATTGATACAAATCCAGTCGTTATAATTTTCATTTTGGAAAATCCATGCAATATTTAGCACAGATTAATGTGTTTAATGCGGATTTTCCAATTGGAATATTTCACTAAATGCGATCCATCAATGGATTTGCTCTGTAATATGAGATAATGACATAAAGTATATTTTTAATAGCTGTAATTTAGCTTTGCTGAAGACTTTTTTCATAAATGTTGTATCGATTGCTTTATAAATATGAATATGAAATGAAAAAGTGAAACACAATGGCTGTAGTAATATATAATAAAGCACGATGGAATATTTTAATTTGATTTAGTGTTATGTTAGTTTTTTTTTTGAGAGAAGAAGGAAGAGATATTTTACATGTTTATGGGTCCGGTCGTGGTTGCGCATTATGAATTCATTGCCTTGCGGAAACGGACCAAAGACCACCTAAATGGGATATAGGATATAGAGACCGCTTCTGGCGACTAGACGAAAGGCAACGAGGAAACAAACGACAACGTCTCTTCGAAGGTCGTCTTCCGTTGCGTGGAAGAAGGATAGGAAGAAGTAGAGATGCCATCGCCTTTTTGTTTTTATTTCCACCGCATTGTTGATGTTTGTTTGTTTGACTTGGCGAAAAATCGATCGAATACAAATCAGCCGTTCTCTCATGTATTTATACACAGAAAAGTACGAATAGAATTTCCGATGCGGCCCAACGCCCGGCGACGTGTAGAAAACGTGTCGTGGAATTGCGTCGGGAAACGCGACCGGAGTTTAATGAAAACAAAAATAAATTAAAAGAAAGAAAAGAAAAAAAAAAAAAACACTTCCAACAAAACGCATTACGATTACTTCAAAAACAAACAACAAATTAACTTAATTTCGATTTTCTTTCAACTTGCATGTTTTTCCATTTTCTTTCCAATTCTATAAGTTATTTTTTTTCTGTTTGTTACGTTTAATTAATGTTTTATGCCCAAGGTTGATTTCTTAATCATTAGCATAAACTGGGCCGCTGTCGGACAACGTAGCAGCAACATTTAATCGCCGTTTCTCCACTCACACACATTTCGAGTCTCCACTTTTTTTTTACCCGAAATCGTTACGAGCTTGGGAAATATACGTGTGCGACAGTTCAATTTTTTTTTGTTATAATTTTATTTTGCCTTATTTTTATTTCCTGCTCCAATAATTTCTCCAATATTCGAGCTGCGAGTAAAATTCTTGATCAAGGACTGGTGTGTACTCACCTTTTTTTCTTCTGCGCGCTGATGCGGATATACGAAGAAGTTGCCAATGCCAAGGCGCTAAATCTTGTAGTCCTAATACGAAATGTCAAGGGATTTTTTATCGACCATCACACCTTAGCCTTCTCGTAATTTAAGCAGTGATATCACAGGTAATTAAAACCTTATAAAACAAGTAATAAATATTGGAATTATAGCCTTAGTTTAGTATAATTATTAGTAAACACATTATTGAAATATTAAGAGTTAGAAATCAGATGATTCGACTATTCAAGACTAACAATTTTGAAATAGTTAATAGATAAATGGACGTAAAGGAATTTGGCATTCCTTAGAGTAATATGAAAATCGGTTTAGCTTTAATATTAATTTTCATAAAATCTTTGAAATTCCATAATTTTATGAATAGTAAATAAACTTCTCCAAATTTAATTAAATTTCTGAACTTTTATTTTTATAAGATTTTATTGAAAATTTCGTAATGCAATAAAAGTTAATTCTAAAATGAAGAGTAAATCGATTTTTCGTTATTTATATCATTTCAGTACACAATCAACATTGTAGTGACTTTGAATCATAAAAATTCCTTATTCTTCAACCAGATCTATATAGAGATCTTCATGTACAAGGAGGCGCAAAAGTAATGTCATAATTTAAATTGGCTGTCATTTTTGCAGATGGCGCCAAATTTCACTATGTTTTGACATTTATGATGTAGATATATAGTGAATTAGTTGTCAACAAGCCATGGAGCGATACACACCTCAAGAACGTGGATTTATTGTTACTGCTTTTTGACAAATTTTCAGTCTGTTGTTTTAACGCAACGCGAATTTCGTCGTCGTGTTCCATGTGCTGGAACAATTAAGCGTTTGGGTGAGCGCCTCGTGCAAACTTGGTTTTTTTAAATCTCGCATTATCAGAACAAACCATGAATCTTGCAAGTCTTGAAAGCTAACATTGAAGAAGAAATCGCCAATTTGGAGCCAGATGTTTTGCGAGCAACAATTCTAAATTCCGTAAAACGAGCGCAATTATTCATCAACTGTCAATAATTTTACACTTTCAAATAAACTTTTGATGAAAACAGAGCTCTTTGTTTTCATTTATAACAAAATGGCAGCCAATTCAAATTATGACATTATTTTTTTGGCACCATGTATTTGTCTACCACGGTGCCCCGATAAATTTTTTTTAGGCACTTCGATTTGGAAAAATTGTATGTTTGATTTGCTGATTGCAAGTAGTTTTATTATTTCTTTGTATATTGGTAATTTATTCTCAACTAATAATTCCAACCTTTTCACTAATAACTAGTAGAGATTACTAAACTTTATCCTTCTGGTGAGATATATAACTAAATATTTTATTTTCGATGATTTGGGTAGATCTTGGCCAATAAATGTTACTGTTAGTCTTCTCTGTGGCATCCCTGATTATATTGGATTATTTTTACCTAAAACGTTCTATTCTCCAGTTACAATTTTATTTATTTTGTATTGTAGAGCGAGATGTCATAATTTATCGAATGCTTGCGATTTGTCGAAAAAGGCAGACGAGTAGTATTTTTTTCTTTCTAGGTTTTAGTAGATGGTGTTTACTATTCTGTTTACTTTCTCTATTTTGGCGATTTAAAAAAATTAAGCTATTGGTCTGGTATCATTAATTCTTTAATTTAAACAGAAATATGTTTATCTTTTTTTTTAAATAAGCCCTTAAGAGCTTACACAATTTAAACTAGTTTAAAAAACTTATTATAAGAAAATTAAAACTAAGGTATCACTTAGTGTTCTTTGTTGATGTGATTTTGTAGCTTATTTTGTTAGGATTTGTCAAATCTAGCGAAGATATCTGTAACCTACTCGTTATTTAGATCACGTTGAAGGTTACTATTCGGTCACGAACGAATAACGACACATTCACAATACACTTTGGTACTTTGTTCCGAAATCTCTGGATCACTTGGATATTAGAATCGCTGGCGCAGTCTCAAAGCTGAACACCATAACTCAATACTTAAGTTATTGTTTAAACGTTTTCTGAATAGTTTTATTTTATCGAGTTACGAGTATATTTATCATAATCACATTTATTACTGTTTATAAACACATCAATTTATTTCATTATATTCCAGATAAACTTGCTTATTTTATTGACGGATTTTCCAATTGTAATGTATTATGTGAAATGCTATCAATCAATAATATCGAATGCAATACAATAAAGCTTTTTAAATACTTTGTTTTATCAACTTAATCCGTTCCAAAATTTCCGGATTTTTACTCGTATAGTGAAACATATTAAAAAAATACACATAATATGTGTACACAAGTTTTAAAAATGTTGCAGCAGGCGGGACTTCTCTTCGTCACTCGTTATGCGAAACGTCGCTCGTTAAGCGACTCATTTTTCTTACAATTCATTTTGCTCGTATATGAGAGGTGCTCGTTAAGCGAGGTTCTACTTTATCTCAAAAAAAGTTTGAATTATTGAAATTCATAATTAAAGCTATAGAAAATTGGTAATATTCAAATTATTATTAATTAATTGTTTTATATCTAATCAAAATTGTAATGTTTTATTTAATTTATAACGTTTAAAGCACTTTTTTTTAAATTTAATAAAACCAAAAGCGAACGCAATTTATATGAAATTGACTCGGTTTTTGTCGTATGCAAATATCATGTAAATAGCCTTCGTAATTGACATAATTTCGCTGGCTCCAATTTTATTTATTGCGACGCGATTTTCCAATCGGAATATTTCACATTAAAATATTGCAGATCGATTAATTTATTTGAAGCACGGATTTTCCAATTGTAATGTTTTGAATTAAATAGAAAATGTCTATTAATAGATTTGCCGATGATAAAATATGGCATTAAATTAGAATCTAAACATTGTTTTAAAATTACAATAATTTATACTTTAACTTATGTAATTCTTCGTATAGAATATTTTTTAAATCAAGAATATAATGAAATATATTAAATTTACTTTTGATCTAAAATTGTTGATGTTTATTATATATAAAAACAGGTATAAACTTGAGTATTTTATATAGACTATGACTATTTTCTAATGCCAGACATTCGTGTTGTTAAGATAAAATCATTAACTTAACAGTGGAATCCGCCTACTTGAAAATTTAGACTAAACTAGTCTAAAAGTATTTATATTGAAATGAAATAAATGATTATTAATATTTTTCTCTTTCATAATAATTGCTTCATCATTGATATTATATATTTTTACTGAAAGCAGTAATTCGTAATTAAATACCTTATTATTGAGTAAGATTATCGCGAGACTTTAGAAATTATAGTAATGATAGTTATTTGCCCATGAAAGGAAGTAAAACTGTGAACAAGATTGAGTCGTACGATTGAAATGTAACAGCTAGAAACGCGAGTGAAACGTGTGCGACTGTATGTATTCCCGTTTAAACGTAATAAGCGTAATCCGAAATGAAACTGCTAGTATTTAGTAATTTAGTAAGTGAAAACCGCTTCCTTTTTTTTCAGAACATCAGTGTTATTCGTCTCGATAACCTTCATCGTTCTTATGATAATATCTCTGGCCTGGCTGGTGTTTTACTACGTGCAGCGGTTCAGGTACATCCACGCAAAAGACAGATTATCGGTAAGTTTAAAGCACGCATTTCTACTATACATCTCTCTTTTCCTCTGCCGTTGCGCTTTTGTTGGATCAACAAAATGCGAAAAACTGGTCTTAGCTAATCCCCTCTGTTTCTCTCATTCATCGTTTATCCTTTAGAAGAGGTTGTGCAATGCGGCCAAAAAGGCGCTCAGCAAGATCCCAACGAAGATTATCAAATCGGACGATAAGGAGATACAAGGAGATGGAGAGTGCTGCGCAATCTGCATCGAACCCTACAAAATTCTCGACGTCCTACGAATATTACCGTGCTCGTAAGTAGATTTAATTAATCAATTAATCGCATTACCATTAATAATATTTTGTTTTGTAAACATTCATAATCAAAGCGATAACGATTTTGTTTGTTTTAATGAAACAATTGCGATTCGTATTAAGTTTTACGCAAAGTAATTTTTTTTATTGCATTTTAATAATAATTCTAAATACGTTTTTCCGGATCGTAAAAATAGAAAATAAACTAAACTAATATTCTTGGCTCATAAAATTTATGTTTTATTCATTGATTGTATACGCATATAGCATTTCGCGTATCTCGGATATCGACCAAAACGTTGATGGACGTGAAAAGCAATTATTTTGATGATTCATAAGTTTTGTATAGGTAAATAAGAAATTTAATCTTCCAGACACGAGTTTCACAAGAATTGCATAGACCCGTGGCTCCTGGAACAAAGGACGTGTCCCATGTGCAAAATGGATATCCTCAAGCATTATGGCTTCGTGGTAAGGAAAATTTCATTATTTTATAAGCGCGGGTGTCATAAAAGAAGCATTAAGAAATATTTGTTAAAAATCGCGCTTTTCAAACAGCAAATTGATCAATTTTTATATACGACGTGTATTTGGATAGTGTAATGGTATAATTGTTTTAGACAAATATTTAAAAGTTTTTATTTAAAATAAATTAGTAACGCTTCTTTCATGACACATTACAAATTTAAATTTAAAATAAGTCTCTATTAACGAGTTGTGATTTTAATAATGGACGTGCTGGAAATGTGTATTGACTGGAAACTACCGAAGAAAGTGCTTCCTATATTAGTAATTAGCCGACGTCTTGAATAAAAGTAGGAAATGTTCTTCGAAATAATTTCCTTTTTTTGCGAATCGCAATCCGATGAAAGGACATTCGTAACCTCGAGGAGAAGTTTTGATCTAATCGAGACGCTGATGACATGAAAAACAAAGACGCGAAATGCGTGTATTGCATGTGCCGTGCCTTGATTGATAAGGCCACATCTCCCGGCGCTCGGCTCTTGTTCCTTCCCTCCTCAATCTTAGCAGCATTTTGCTTTGTTTGCCGTGTCGTTTCATTCGCTTCCTTTCTTTACCCATTTCACATCTTCCTACCATAATTCTTGCTTTTTTTCCTCTCTGTCCTGTCTCCCGTCGTAATAACCAACAAAACAATGAGACTCTCTGCTTATCAACAGTGCGTCTGTGCCGACGATGACCTTCATGTACTCTTTTATTTTATTATTTCTTTTTATTTTCTTTTGTTTTTCAGGAAAATATGAATGATTAACAGATGCTGCTTATGTTTGAATATATTCTTAATATTTTCACATATTGAAACTTACGTAAGTGTCTATATAAAAACTCAATATTTGATTATGAATTAAGTAAACAGGCAAGTCAATTTATAATTAAAATATTGAGTTTTTATAACCACAATTGTTTCAACTGGGAAAATAGTTTAAAGTTGCAATCTCTCATTTATTTTCTTGGGTTAACCAAAACTTCCTGCGAATGAATCAATTCCGCACAATAAAAGAAAATATTCTTAAACGTGAGTGTAATTTTTTTTTTTGAAAAACCTGCACGCAAATATTACTTTTTACTTTAGGTGTTACTTGACAAGTACAAGATGTTTTCTTTAACATTTTTTTTAAATTTAATTTATTCAAACAAAATTGATGGTAATCCCTTATTACTTAGGTAACAAAATTTATTGTGTTTGTTTTTTATGCAACCCGTCATTATGTTTTGACCCTTTTGTTGATGGTTTTTAATTGTTTCGCAGTATACTGGTAGTCAGGAGAGCATTCTGCACATGGACATTGAAGAAGTCGTGGGAATGGATTTGACGAACGAGAGCAGTCCCAGGAGGAGTGCGAGCGGCGGAGGCATAAGCCCTTTGCCTCAAATCCGTTCAAGTATTTTGACTGAGCATCAGGTACCTAGGCTTGAAGATAATTCAACCAGTTGCTTTATTGTGTGTTTTCGTTAATCTTTGTTGTTATTGCTGTAGTCGTACAATTCGGTGGAGGGCGACGACGCATCGAGCAGCCGCGCCTCGACGCCCAACGAGATGACGCCCAGCCTATCGAACAGACATATGCTACCCGTGCGGCAGGATCTGTGCGTCAGCTGTATCGCCGCCGCCGCGGCCGCCCTAGTCACACCATCCACGTCTGCAGACGACGACGAAGACGACGTCGCGACGCCCGAAGAAGAAGAGGACGAGGTGCCTCAACCGCAGGAGGCGCCCGTCAGTCCCAAAGTCGGAACGTCATCCGCGACGACAGCGACGTCGGTGTCCAGCGTCCCCAGTGATTCTAACGATGCTAAAGTGCAATAGACTCTTAAACTCTTCCAATTTTATCCCACGTTTCTTCACCATTTCCTTCTATATTATACATTATACTATTCTCTATTCTAAACTATATATCTACCATATATATATACAAACATAATTATACTTTATTTCTTCAGTTTGAAACAACAATAACAACAACAACAACAAATTGATGATTATTAACACTTTTATTCTCATCATTATGATTATTATAGACTGCCAGAAGACGTTTAAGCATAAGAACATTGATTAACAATTTATTAAATATGTATTTATTTTGTGATATTTCTTAATACTTCATTGCGATTGACAAATTTTACAATTTGTTTGTAAATAAGTTATGTTTTTGTTTTAGTTTTTACCATTATTTTTTTGTTTGTTTTTAATTGACGATGGTGCTTATCGATGAAGAATTATATATTAATTTTTATATTCTCCTAGTGTGTAAGCTACAATAATTTAAAAAAGAATAAATATTAAAAAAAATCAATATGTATATTTGCAAATTCGAAGGGAAGAGAAACACACAACTAATGAAAATACTTAATTATTTGTTAAAGAAGCATACACGAATATAATATTTGTTTATATCGTTATGATCTTGTATCTCTGAATCGCCTTGGTAACATAGAAACAAACGAATGGAAGATTACGGTAACTCGACAACTTTTCGTTTGTTTCTGTTTCACCGAAAGACGCCGATTCGGATTTGGGATCTCTCCGTTGTCTGTTTCTTTCTTTTCCTCTATTGCATTTCGTTTAATTTGCTCTGTACGGTAGCAATCTAGGCGACGAGAATGTTCCGTTATTTTTCAAATGCAATTCGAACACTTTTTTCTTCTATAGGAAAATATGCAAACATGTTACGTATATATAAAATACATTTTTTATCGACTTTCTAACGTTCTTCATTTCATACCTTATACATTTATTTTAAGTTTTTTTTGGTAGTTCAAACAAAAACCAAATTTGAAGGTTACTGATTAGCAAAAATATAGATTTTCTTGCTTCTTAATATGTATTATTAAGTATTGAATTTAGCTGAAATTACTCAATTTCATCAATGAGAAATAGGTAATTAATATTGTGAAATCATCATATGCAGGTGATTCCGCATAATCAGGACTAGTACAAAAATTACAGGATTGGTGTTTTTTTTAATATTTTATTTAACAAAATGCACAAAATAAAACAAGCCATAATAGAAAATGGTATCAATTCTGAAACAATAAATATGTATATATATATAATAAATTCTGAAAGAAAAATTGTATTGTTCAAACTTAAATTAAATTAGGTCTTCTGGAAGGATTTGCGAGATTGCAGTTGTACAAAATCAGCGCAGATATTTATTGCTAATATAGGACTCCCTTCGTTTTCATCCTGCATAAAATAACGCTGTAATCTATCAATACATTGTTTTGCCTCTTGGTTAGTTATGGGAACAGGAAGATTTTCATGATTTTTTGATTTAATGCCTTCGATAATTGCGTCCTCCCAATCTCCATTCTTGTCATAACATGGTAAATTACTGTCAATTGTTGAAACTCTAGGACAATTAAGTTCTTGTGATTTTGATTTAAATTTGATGTTGCGTCTCGTTTTCCAACGAGACAACCAACCAGAAGTTGCTTTGAAATCATTGTGGTCCAACTTTTTGGCGAATTCTTCTGCCTTTGCCTTCAAAATTGGACCACTGATATTCACACCTCGCTGAGTAACTACCGAAAACCATTGATCTAGCGCCTCCTCTACATCTGGATCCTTACCCTCCCGTTTTCGTTTAGACGTTCCCGGTTTTTCTGCATGTAACATCCATTCGTCGTGCAGTTGTTTTTCATCTTTTAAGAGCCGCGATATTGTAGATTTTGGCACATTAATTATCTCAGCAAGCTGACGAAGGCTAGTGTTACTTGGATGGTTTTTAATTTTATTTAGGATAGCAATTTTATTTTTAAGTGTCAAATCCTTTCTCGGCATCTTGGTAAGGGATATATCAGTAACTTTATACTAGATTTACACTTTAATGACTGAATTTACGTTAACTCGACCATACGCTTATACACAGCAATGATGTCAAATAGAACCTCCACTGCAGCGCTCAATATTCACGTGTGAATCCCAGGCGTAACGGGACACACGTTTATTGTCCCGATTAAACGGAATATTGTCCCGAAAAATCGGAGTAAATTTGTTATTTCCTTTGTTTTGTTTTCGTTCTTTAGGATTTGTCCCTAATAAGCGGTTGTCCCGATTAAGCGAAATCAACTATGTATGAATATTGGTTTTATTTCTTTGGAAATCACCCTGCATATATTTTGATGGACTGAAGAAATTTATGATCGTGGCGCCGCGTATCGGAAGAGCGAGGAAGAAAATCCGTTGCTTAACCCAGCTTAACCTAGAATATTTTGTAAACAATAATTTGGTGTGATTGTTGTTGTTTGTTTTTGTAATCTAATTGGATTGGATAGGGTGAGGAAGATGCCCATCGAGAGTATACAGTATTCTGAGAAGTACTCCGACACGAAATATGAGTACAGACACGTAATTTTACCGCCAGACCTTGCGAAAATGGTACCAAGACCCCATCTGATGACTGAAACTGAGTGGAGGAACCTTGGGGTGCAACAGAGTCCCAACTGGGTTCATTACATGCTGCATGGCCCTGAGCCCCATGTGCTACTCTTCCGGAGGCCAATAACATAGACTGAAGCATCCTCGCATCTAAGTAAATGTTTCTATATAAATATGTTTATATACAATCGACCAAGTGATACTACTTTTAAAGAATAATATAATAATGAATAACTGTACATTTGTTAATATTGATAATAAAATTATGTATGTATAAATTACCATTTGTCTTATTATGCAAGTATTGCCATGGTAACTAAATGCCATAATGATCAAACATATGTTTTGTGGCTTTGTGTAATGTGCTTGTGAGCTGTGGTCAAATATTCCAGTGTGTTATCAAGATGAAGGTAACCTTTTGCACTGATTTGGATAAGAGCGTGGTGGTGACGAACTGCGAGAAACGAGGTTGGGTGCAGGTGGGTCCTGAAGATGATTGGAACATATATTGGGCAGGCACCTTGACCTGCAAGAGTCTGTTCAGTGTGGACAGTGGCTACAGAATGAGTGATGCTCAGTATGCATGCATCTATGTTGCATCATTACATAGTATACAATTATTGTTTTCTTTCAGGATAATAAATCACTTTCCAAATCATTATGAGATTTCTCGTAAAGATTTGTTGGTGAAGAATATTAAGAGGTATCGCAGGGAGTTGGAAAAGGAAGGCAACGTCATCGCCGAGAAGGGTGATTCCAAGTATTTGCATCTAGATTTTATACCGGTGACGTTTGTGCTTCCTGCGGATTACAACATGTTCGTGGAGGAGTATAGGAAGTCGCCGCAGAGCACTTGGATAATGAAACCGTGCGGAAGATCTCAGGGCTCCGGGATTTTCCTGATCAACAAACTGTCCAAATTGAAGAAGTGGTCCAGAGACACCAAGCATATCTTCCAACCACAACTCGCTAAAGAATCTTACGTGATTTCCAGGCAAATAACTACTATTTTTATCTTTTATTTTGGATTATTGTTATTGATGTAACAGGTATATTGATAACCCGCTTTTGATTGGTGGCAAGAAATTCGATATGAGGCTGTACGTGCTCGTAACTTCGTTCCGTCCATTGAAGGCGTACCAATTCAAACACGGCTTTTGTCGATTCTGCACGGTGAAGTACGATTCGAGTGTGGCTGAATTGGATAACATGTACGTTCATCTAACGAACGTTTCAGTGCAGAAACATGGGGTATGATTAGTTTTCACATAAAAGAATCGAATAATTGATTTTGTGTTTTTTAGGGTGAATATAATTCGATACACGGCGGTAAATTGAGCGTTCAGAATTTGCGGTTGCATTTGGAAAGCACTAGAGGCAAAGAGGTGACGGAGAAGCTGTTCGATCAGATCAGCTGGTTGATAATTCACTCGCTGAAGGCCGTGCAACCGGTAATTGCATCCGACAGGCATTGCTTCGAGTGCTACGGTTACGACATCATCATTGATAATAAGTTGAAACCGTGGCTGATCGAGGTGAACGCCTCTCCATCGCTGACTTCTACCACTGCAAACGATAGGATTTTGAAGTATAAACTGTTGGACAACATATTCTCCATCATAGTCCCACCTAGCGGATTCCCCGAGTAAGAAATACAATGTTTTCTTGATGTTATTGATGATTTTATTTTTAGCACAAGATGGAACAAGATACCTACGAAAGAAGCAATGAAGGATTTTGAGTTACTTATCGATGAGGAAATCATACAAAACGAGGATCCGGAAACTTCCGAAAAGTACGGCGCAAAATACTCGAGCATGTACAGGTGGAGATGAAGGTAATTTTGCGAGGATTGAAGACACATTAAGTAGCTACTTAGAAATATTTATTTATTGTACTAAAGATATTTAAAATAATAAAAAATAAAACAACAAAACTTATTTCAGGCCATTATTGCATCATTTAGATTAGAGTCTTGGAAATAAGTGCTATTAGAGGGCTTGGGAATAAATGCTTATCAAAATATTAGAAATTTATCTATTATTTGAATTTACAACGTTTGAGAAACACTGTTTTTAACTTACCTAAACACAAATTTTGTACTGGAACACCGTGAATGAAAATAAAACAGCATGTGTTTAGTTTAAATAGCGAGACATTTATTTATATTATTATTAGTTTGTCAGTATTTCAACAATAAAACGATAAAAATATTTCGTTATTTTTTGTTTGTTTGGTTTTTGCAAATTACAATCTTCCTGTTCGAACGAATCTCCATCACTAATACACACAATACAATAAATATAATGAGGTACATGATATAATATAATCTGTCACGGTGCACATATTACAATCGTTTTATTCTCATCTTATATAATCTATCACACATATAGTTTTCCTTCTTTTTCATATTTCACATAATATAGTAATAGTATATATATAGTTTTAGTATGTAGAGTATAGTACACGGAGAAGAAAAATAATGATGGATCGTACCGAAATTACGTTCACATTCCAACTAGTTTTGTTCATTTACATAGATAATATATATATATTTATTTTTGTTCATATATACGAAATAAAGTCGTTACAAAATAAGTTCTCATTTGCGATCCTGACCAGTTTCTTTTTAATCCTTTCGTTCTTCGCGTTTCAATCCATCTAAAAAATATATTTATGTTGTTTCAAGTTTCATTTATTTTTTTCAGGAAATCCTCGATCATCAGATCTGTTTTCGGATCCCGGAAGACTGCTGCGACCTTCCTACTAATCTGGGATTTTCGTATCGTTCTTCTTGTGGGGGATTTTCTTCTTACATGTAACCCCGAAACGTGCACAGACTTCGAAAGCCTTGCCATATCACGCAACATATTTTAGATATATAAATAATTCTAAAGTGAAATAGTTTTTCTTTATTATTCTTAACTTTGTCGGTAAGCAAATAGAGTATATATAGATAGATAGACATAGTATATATATTAGTTATATTTATATGTAGATTAGTTTTTTTTTCTCTTAGCGCGTTCCGCTTTCTTGCATTTAGAAGAGTACACGCTTTTGTTTCGAACATTTGAAATCAATCGGTAATCAATAAATAATAAATTAGTTCATTTAATAATGATCCTTACTTCATTTAGTATTTTCTTTTGTTGTTGTCTTGGAAACACTTATTAATTATTATCACATAAAGTGTGAACATTTAAACATTCAAGGCACCGTGTATATAGTGTGTATACCGTACAGTCCGACTACAGATATTTTTTTTTCAAATATATATATATTTCTTATATACACATAATGTTTCTTCGAATATATATATATATATATATATATTTTTATATTCATATAGATAGATTGTAGTTACTTTGACACATCGGATACATATTTAGAAGAATATTATTTGTTATCTATATATCTTGTTAATCTTATAGTTACAACAAATTCACCTAAAATTACACTAATCATCAAATACCCATGGTTGGTGCATTTCTTATTCACTAACCGTAATTAATAAAAGCGAAAACCATAGCAACCGATAAACAATATGAAATAAATAACAATTGACATTGTTGAAACCGATAACAGCAACGACATCAACAGCGTAATTCCGTTCGGGATCGACGGTGGCGTAAAATGATATCAAATTAACAAAATAATAACAAAAAACAGCTGCCAAACGATAATGAAAGATGCTGTTTCTTTTGCTCCTTCCTTGCTACTTACTACATTTTTTTCGGATTGTGGGTAGTTTCTTTTTGGTTTAGGCTACGTTTTATATTCCTTTGGGTTTTGGGATATTGGTATCGTAAGCCCGGATCATTTCAGCCTGCGACACAGAACCGCCCTCCTCTTGCGAAAAAGCAAACCCATCTGTGATAACAACAACACACGACTATTAGTGAGGATCATCCGAACTAAGACACATATTATATTGCCTACATACTAATATGTTCATTGCATGCATTTTATTTACAAACATTGTTCAGTAACCTCCTATCCACAAATATTAATTTACACTTTGCCTTTCCAAATGGTAGAACATCAACAACATCTAATAATAATTATTATAATAATATAACAAAACGAAATGCGTAACTAATGAAACTATATTAAATAAATAATATTTGCATGAAGATGTTCAGCCACTTAGTGAGCGCATATTTTTAGAATAATAAAAGAGTGTTTTTGTACTAAACCTGGCACAGGCGGTGTTCTAAGCACTAAGTAGAAGAGACTTACGGGACATCTCGACGTTTTCGACTCGCGTGTGCGGCCTTCTTGAGAACACATTGTGGACCTTCTTCAACAGGCGTGCAGTTTCAGATAAACGCGACGGCGATTCCAGTTGTTGACTGTTAATATGGGGAGGTTTGGAATTTCTTTATTTTAGCAGTGTTACAGCAGAAAATAATTAGCGGAAAACGATCATTTCCTCATTTGTTTAAAAACATTAAAACTTTACAGAAAATAAAATTTTAAAAAGTAAGAACAGAAAAAGTGTGGTGCACGAAGTAATAAGAGACTAAAGGGGGACAGGAAAAGGGCCAAGCATGCGCGCGTGCCTTTAAGCCCACTTTCTACACCTGTTAATGAGTACTAATCACATGATTATGTCAAAAAAAAATCGAATTTGATAAGAAAAACTATTTGAATCGCTCTTTTTGATATATATATATATATTTCAAGTCAAAAAATGCAATTTCAAATATACGACACAATGAGTACGATTTTTAATACCTCAAAATTGACGGACCAGGTTTAAACCTAACGTCAAAATTGTCAGGTCAGATCTAAACTTTACGTCATAATTGACATATAAATAATTTGGTTATACGCATTGTGTCGAGTAGTTACGAATCAAATTCCGAAAATTAGATATTAGATACACACACATAGACAGATAAAGGTGACCATGCAAAATTAGTACAGTTAGTGTATATATAAATCAAAGAATTAGGGGGGCGAAAACGTATGCCTCAGCTAAAAGACTATACTTACAAATTGCGAACCTCTCCAACGCATGCAACGGTCTTGCAAAAACACAGACACATTAATTACCCGAAACAACTCAAAAATAAAAACTGATCAAACAAATAGTATCTTTTTTTTTTTTTTTGAAAAAAAATAATCATATATTTAAAATTAAAATAAAAACTACAAAATTAAAATGCAAATAAAACAAAAAAATCCGTCAGAATTTGGTTCGTTTCAGTGAGTTCGCATCGCCATCGCAAACACTTATATAATTCTTGATGTTTTATCATTTATAAAAATTAGTCTGTTTCACAATTTCCTACTTTCTGTATTTGGAACTTCAAGTCATTTAAGTGAAAATGCTAACAGCAATTACTTATTTTTAAATTAATTTGATAATACCAAAAAAATAATTATGCATGATGTTCTTTTTTTTACTTTGACTAATGCAAACAAATGTTCTGTATAAGTGCGAACCCAGAGAAATGCGTTTCTTGTTCTCTTTCCAACGTCTTACGTTATTTTTTCTCTAAGATGAATAAATTTATATTGATTCCTTCAGCAAACCGTTTATAACCGATTAATCTAAAAGAAATAAATAATAAACTTTTCTCTTGTCTTTTCATATTTATATAAAAAAATATATTTTCCTAAGTTATAACAAAACTAACAAAAAAAAAGTCAACGACGATGATGATGATGATAATAATACTAGTGATGTTAGTAACATAATCAACAACAGTCAATTAAATATAAAGTATTTGTATGTATGTATATATAAAATATTTATATAAAAAGTAAATTATGTGCAGAAAAACCTTAACCCGTAAAAAATTGGTCCCTAACAGATTAAACTCTAAACGTGGAATATCATCAACAATGCTCATAAAATATTTATAGAAAAAAAAAATTATTAATATAAACCTAATATTATTATTGTTATTATTAGACTCGTTCAAAACCTAATAATGATTGTGCTTGTTCCTTGTGCGCACTTCGATTCCATCTTTTCATTAATACTATCTAAGTTTCAGGTATCACAAATCTAGGAATTGCGTAATCGCTCGCAAACGAAGATCAAAAGCGTTTATTGCTCTTGGCAGATCCTGAGGTCGCAAAGGTCGACTTTACTTAAGCGTAGTGTGCGTGCACGGCAGGAGCAATGATGTTATTTATCGGCCGCCATTTTAAACCAACTATGCTTCCATAACTAAATCGAACAAAACAAAAATCAAAGGAGGGGAATTGAAAATAAAAGTAAATTATGATCGTACAATGATCTAACAAAAGATCAATGATAATAATTTAAAAGAAAACAGTAAAACAACAATAATAATAACAATAACAAGAACACCAAGGAGACTGAGATGAGAGACTACTCGTCCACTATTGTTTGGTAGTTGTATTAACCAGATCATGACTGTTTCAGTCTGCTCATCTTTTCGTTCGTTTACATCGAACACTAAATTCTGTGCAAAAGCCATGCAAGATCACATCATAATTTTCCATAATAATATAAATGATCCATTCTTCAATTACATCTAATAATTGATAGCAGTTAATGCAAAGTCAATTGCTTCATTTCGTGAATATCTGAATGTGTAATTAATTAGTAAATCTAAACAAATAATGAAGTCAATTTGAAGAGTCAAAATCGTTATTAATTTTGTAGTCACGAAGCGATGCGTATTAAGAGTGAATGGATCGATTGAAATTGTTAATAACTATCCAGTCAACAAAATGCGAGCGAATCTAAATAGGCATGCAGAGACGAATCAAGACCAATTAAATAAAAAATAAAATAAAGATACACATCAGCAATAATGGAAATTGAATTATAACATAAAAAACGTCAATATGAGAACCGAGAAAGACATATAGAGAATGCGTGCAAAATAAAATCGAAAGAGAGAGAAAAAGAAAACGATCCGAAATTATAAGAGCTTCGCGTAATAATAATTATAAAACAAACGAAACAGAATTGTATATAGAATTTAATAAAACTTACGATGTTTTCGAATCCCGACTCAGGTCGGTCGGATCTTGGTTCTTGATCTCTTCCTCGCGCGCCTTCTCCGTCAACGATTTCCTCACAGTACCCCAAATCCTAAGAAGCAGAGACGCACAATCAATTGCTGTGAAAATTGTGGTTTAAGTGTACGAATATGGGGAATACTTTTACGTGGGATGAAGAATTTCTTCTTGTTGCGGATTTGATACGTGCAGAAGCCGTAGAAGAAATGATCGGGATAGAGGCTGGAAGGATCTCATCGGTAGGATATAATTAGTGGGTTATGGGTACATACTTATATTTTTTTTTTGATCGGACGATACTTACACTTTGAATGCAAAATCTGGGATGATCGCCATAATTGGGATTAGAATGAAACAGAGCCAAAATATCGCTGATGTGAAGAGGGCTATGTACATTCCCGCCATTACACTTCCTATAGGCAAGGTGGGCCAAAAATTGCTGAGAAAAAAATGGGATTTAATTATTTGTAATTTGGCTAATACAACTAATAATAATAAGACTCACCTATAAACTATAATAAAAACAAACCACAGAGCGATTGAACCCCAAATGGCGCAATGGGTGGGCCACACCCACGAATTTGTGACGATTCCTGCCTTGATACACACAGTCACCACAACTACCTGTTATAATCAATGCAGCTGTAATGCCCATGTATTGCTTATGAGAATGATATTAAAGTACGTACTGTGTAGACGATGTTGCCGAGGACCAGGTAACCGCCTCCCTGTCCAGAAGCCCAGATAATGTCGTTCTGACAGATGAAAAGTGGCAGCCAGAATAGGATGGCGGAATGGAAGAGGCCGTTGCAGACCCATAACCAGAACACCTTGACGTTGAACAGCTGCCCGTTCTGCGAAGGTTTATACAGTTTCGGATTGAGGATCATCATGTCGGCGCTGCAGGCTTTGTCGAAAAGCCCCATGGCAAGCGGCGGCATGGCAGTGAAGATGACATTATATAAACCTATGGACCATCGCTCAAAGAGGATCTGTCCGGACCAACCCGAGTAGTAGGCGAACCACAGCTCGATTACGTACAGACAGATGTTTTTGTAGAAACTATACAGAATGAGCTTGCACATCCTAGAGTAGTTCCAAGCGCCGTGCACGAGTAGTAATCGCAACAGAAACCGAAACTGGGCTATACTGTAATCCGAGGCGCATGCAGCCTGCAGACCCTCCACGCCCGAAATACCAACGCCGACGTGCGCTTTCTGGATCATGGCAACATCGTTCGCACCGTCTCCGATTGCCAAAGTTACCGTCTTCGTGTACTTGGTTATATACTCGACAACCTCGGCTTTCTGCAACGGTGATACCCTGCAGCAGATTACCACTTTACAGGAGATGCAGAGCTTCAGAAAGTCCGTCCGCAGATCGCAGCTCAATGAGTATTTGAGAGTCTTCCCGTCCACGATCAGCGCAATGTTGTTCTGCTTCTCCAGATCATCCCCGAGCTCAGAGTGATGCCGTAGTATCGTTTCCCTCGCGCTCTGCATCAAATATAAAAAATCAATTCACATTTATCAATTCCCTTATAGATTCCGTAATAACAGTTAGTAATCAACTTACATCTAAGCTATCCTCGTTGAGTATAATTAGTGGCATTCCCTGAACAATTAAACGGCAGGAATAGCCGATATTGATCGCCGTTTCTTGCTTGTCTCCGGTCAAGACCCACACGTTAATGTCGGCCTTCAGGAGGGTCGCAATGGCCTCCGGTACACCCTCCTGCAGTTTATCTTCGATGGCTGTGGCTCCAATAAGCTTTAGGTTCTTCTCCAGCAGCTCCTCAGCGGCCTCCACATTTTCTATAATTTCCAAATGAAAACATTCCATAAACAGATTATAATAACTTACTCTCTCTATTAATCATGGAACAAGCGGCGTTATGGTAGATAACTCTCCAACGCTCGTATTCACTCTCATCTAACTCAGCGACAGCACAACAGAGAGTTCGCAGACCCTCGGTGGCAAATTGCTCGAGATGCTGCAGAAGCACCTCCTTATGCTGACTGCTATCATTATTCAACCTCTCGTAGATCATCTTAAGTAAAAAAAAAGTGATTGTGTTAAAACCAATTACATTTAATCAGATTGTGTTGTACCGTATCGGCTCCTTTGCAGAGAAGCCTTAGATTGCCGGATGGATCACGCACGATCACCGACATCCTCTTTCTCGTCGACGTAAACTCCAAGACGTGCAAAATCTCGAACCTCTCGATAATACCGAACGCGCTTATTTCCACGTAACTCGGAGTTCTGCTCTCAAAGACGTAGCCGAACTTGCTGGCACCGTAAACCAAAGCTCTCTCATCTTAAAAAAAAACTCAATTACATATCTGTTTTTTAATTTTCGAAAGAAAAGTCAGTACTCACCAGGCGATGCGGCGTGGTATACGATACTACCGTCGGGCATCTTCTCGGGAATGACAGTGTGGCAGACGGAGAGCAGAATGAGAAGATCTCGCAGGAGATCCGCGTTCGCGTGATCGTTCAGGATATGCTGCAAATGGCTATCTTGAATACAACATTCAAAGCAATTATTAATTCTTACGTTGACGAGAAGAGACTCTGTGTCCTGCGATTCTGAGAGGGTGTAAACTTCGTTGCCCACGGCGCACCTCTTGAACTCCATCACGTTCCTCGTCAGCGTCCCAGTTTTGTCCGAGAAGATGTACTTGACCTGGCCGAGCTCCTCATTCAAGTTAGAAGTGCGAGCCATCGCCGGTGTGTCCGTCTCTGGATAGTACATCTCACGATCCATATTTATGAAAATCGCCTAAAAAACAAAGAACGTACAAGTTTATCGTTTTTCAAATTTACACAGCCAATGTGTTTATATTATTCTGCATGATCAATGAATTATGAGAGAATTACCTGAATAAATCTGACCACTTCTAACGTGACTTGCAGGGATATAGGTATGAGATTGTTGAAGAGGATTACGAAGGTGAGAAGGTTGTACGCAAAGTTCTGCGGGATTGCTGTAAAGAGAAACAAATATTGTTAATAATTATTCAACACTAAACTGATGAAGATCGAACCTTCTAGGGCTATGTACCAATCAGTGGATGCATGCGCATTTGACCATATCTCATTGCAGATAGAGCAGATGAGACACATAACCAGAAGAATACCGAAAAGTAACAAGATCTGCACGTTCGTAAGTTTATCAACGCTAGACCTCTTCAACGGAGCTTTGGTGGAGTTCCTCATAAGCTTAGTCTCGTGCCCGGTGTAGATAACAATACCGAAAACCCACGAGGTGTTCCGAAGCATGGCACCTCTCAAAAGAATCTGGTCGGGCCCGAGAGGAAACGATCTGAAACAAAAATCCATGTCACAAGGTAACAAATCATCACACCATCCGAACACCAATACGTTCGATCATGCTCGTGTAGAACTCCGGTAAACTCGTAAAGATGTCTGTTTGGTGGTTCGCATTCTACAGATCCAATGAGCTTCGTCAATGGCTGAATAGAGGTGAGGGTTGCAGTCGACGGCAGCGCTTGTCTGATCTTCAAGTTAGTTTCGCCGTCTAGGTTCGCCGTCTCGATGAAACTCATTCCCTGCGGTTCGCTTTAATAGATGCAACTCGCAATTAGAGAAACGTCGATCACAAGAAACAGTGTCATTACCTGGAGGAAATCAGCACCAGATCCGCCGGGAAGAAGTTATTGTTCAACACTTTCACGATGTCTCCGACGCCAACGTGCATCCACTTAACCTTTTTCCACGCGTCCGATCGCAGCACGTACACCTCTCGGTGATTAGTCTCATCGTCAGCCCTGTGCCGCTTCTAAATTTAAAAAAACTTATATCTTTAATAACAATTCTCTGCCAACAAATAAATAATAATTTAAGAACCAGGAATCCTTCTCTATTAGCGGGAATTATGTAAAATTATTATTTAGGTAAATTAAACTTACTATGTCCTCTATAATTTCCTTGATTGCGGAAACGGAAAGGATGAATATAAGAGGGACCAGGGTCGTGTAGCGTCCAGTCGGCGATACATCTGGGATCTGCTGGAGGAGCGCTATCATCAAGAAGAAAACGTTGGCCCATCGTCGGAACTGCTCGAAGAGGAACAACGGTGCAAATCTCAAAATGCTGAAAAATAAAGGAGGTATAAAAATAGGAAGAGTTTTAAAAATAATGCGATTTTACCTATATTTCGCAGTGGATATTCGATTGTTAACGAACTTGGTGATTGGCGGCTGTACTCGGTTTATGAAAACTACTCTCGGCTCCGATGTGGGATCCCTGTGCTCCGTAGTGCGGTCCAGCGGCGAAGAGCCAGTACCATCGTCCTCATCTACGGATCAATGCAGGTGGCGACGACGGCCAAATCATATTAGTTTGTTTGTTTTATGTTTATAAATCAGCAGTAAGAAGGGAGCATATCTAAGCATCATCATGCATTGATTAGTTTTAAAAGCGAGAACGTTAGCGGGAATTATTGATCAGGTGCCCTTGAATACAGAACGCAAATCAAGTCTCCTATCCTTCATAGAGACACGCATCCGAAGGCCCGCACCTAATTATTTAGCAGACCAATGCAACTAAAGCAGCAAATAACAAGCGGTGCAAAAGGTAGCATGCTTTACGAGCGTTTCTCTTCTCTTAATTAATTAGAAAGAAAGCGAAAAAAACTCATATGTACACGATCAGGTTGCGTTTCTTTGTTTCGCTCGCCCTAGCGTTATTCCGAAATGGGAACGGTCGGACGTTTTGCTGTATTTACATGTTATTTAAATATTAATAAATCTACTAGGTACCAAAAAAGGAGTATAATTAGTTATGAGTTATGAGCCCTACACACAAACAAAATAATTTGGTTTAATGAAAAATGGAAGTAATTCTAATTATTTTCATTCTGACGCAATAGTGTTAAGCAATTCACATTCTATGGAAGAAAATGTAAGCAGAAGCGGCCTTTTATAATCGTTCGAAAATTTAACTTCACTGCGAACAATCGATAAGTCCAGAATCGGTACTTAACATCAACCTTGAATGGACAATTAAAACGCTAAATTTACGTTTATCCTTCATTGTTTCTCAGCATCTTCGATTATTAATAACATCGAAAATATCGATATTCTGAACGTTAAAAGATTTATTCGAATGATGAATAAGTGCATAAAATCAATCGATCTCACTTTGAACTTGCTTAATTGACTGTATTTTCTATTATAGATCGCAAGTATCTCTCAAGCGGCGTCATCTACAAACGACTCCTCATCTATTCACAATATGGTCGCTGATTTCGCTTTTACGCTTCATTCTAGTTCTTCACAAAAGAACCGCACATCAAAGCTAAAGTGCTTCGCATCTCGAGATACTTTTGACCTAAACTTTATGTTCTTTATGAAAAGTAGATAATTTCAAGTAACTCAAGGAAAAGGTTTCTCTTTGTTACTTCTGATTTTCAGTGGCGGACAATTTATAAATAACGATTCGTATTAGCTTAAATATGTTAACTAGTAAAATATGTTAATCTGCATGTTTGAAAATTATGTGTTTGTTTTGAAATCAATGGAAATATTGACAAATTTCATTAAAATTGCATTAGATCATCATTAGATACATTCGCAAATATAACCATTAGAGTTCAATGATATCTAAACTACTTTCACTACTTTAGTCAATATAATTTAACAATATCAATTACATATTACTTTAACAAATGATTAAAATTAAGAAATAACGACAAGTAACAAGAATTGTTAAAATGGATAGTTGCTATCAATTATAGATGATGCGCGTCTTAACTAACCTTGATACCAAATTAATCTGATTATTATATTATCATTAACATTGATTTCCATTTAATTAATTATATGTGTATAGGACCTTGTTACATACAAAAGGATAAATAATTAAAGATACTCAAAGTGTCATCAAGTCAAGGTACTAAACTAAAATATGCACTAAAACTGAAACATCTATTAACTAAAGCGAAATAGGACATGTAACAGCTGAACACTTAAGAAAATTGAAGCAAGTTTTAATTGAATCTAAATACAAATAAACAAAAAATAAAGTAAAATCTTAATGACTAGTTGGTTAACAGCTGTGTGAAATAAAATCGTTGGGTTGGCGTAAATCAATATTGTGCTTATTTTTTATTTACTCGCCGAATAATTATTCGATTTGAAATGTAACCGGAGTAGTGGTCAACATTCATTTCACTTATATATATTTCCCTATATTATTACAAACTACATGAGCCACGCAAAAAAATACGGCGAATGTATTCAGAGAATTGTAAATCAGACGTTGCTTTAATCTGATTGGCCACGGGCTGAGCTGAGCAAAATATGGAAAACTAATTACGTTTTATTTTTTTTGTTGTTAGTGTAAATGCTGGTATTTTTAGAAACAACGATTTAGATTATATGAAAAAATATATGAAACGTAACAGGATTAACGCACACGAAGAAAATGTGTAAAAAGTAAATGAAACAAAATAAAAGAAAATCATCTACATCTAAGTGTTACTACAAACGTACGTAGAATTATTATGAATTATGCAATAACATTATGTATGTGTGTCGCACGTATCGTATGTTCGTTTCCAGCACGCATTTTAATTAAGAAAATAAGTTAAGTTAGTAAAAAAGAGAGAAAGAAGAAAAAAATACTTACACACAAACACACGACATTATTAATTAGACACCAAGAAGTAATTACATCAACCAACAGCATTAATTTTTTAAAAAGAAAGGTGGAAACTACGATAAAAGAAGGTGGAGCTTATGTTAGAAACAAGTAAAACCATTGGATGGATGTGGTACTAACGGGAAGAGAAAAATAGAGAGAAAAGAATAAACAACGTAATAATAATAAAAAAAAGGTGTATATGCTTTTTTTTATGGTTTGACTTACGCCCAGTGACGGAAAGCCTTGCACGCAAAACTTGATACAAGTTATTATAAAAATTCATCGTCCATCACAGTCCGGCGAAGGGATATAACGTGTTGGGTGTTGGTGCTGGCCGGTCCCGGGGGGGTCTGTGGGAGTTCTGAGGGGGGTTGGTGACGAAGAGACGACGCACACTGCAAATTAGTACTCAGTTGTACACTTGATACTTGATGACCATCGTAGAGTTCGACTCGACTCCGGAGGTCCGGACGGTTCTTCGCTACGCTTCCCCGGAATTTTCAAACGTATACAATCTGTTGGCATTGTTGTGCCTCTGATGTGGCGGAGGGTCGAGGAAAAGCCCGTCGGAAAATCAATGAAATCCGACGGTTCATGCGCGTCTTGCACAGCATGCATACAGGTGTAGCAAATAGGAGACGACGGTTGTACATATTTTTTTTTTTGCTAAATTTATTTTTCAAACAAATTCCTGCTTTTCTTTTTGGAGTGTATGTGGAAAAGGAAAGCCTACAAATCGCCTTTGTTTGTCTCCCCTCTGCCTTTGTTGTTCGCATGGAGGGATATTTTTAGACTTACACCAATACACCATGTTCAAGAAGAACCTGAATCAAGAAACAATACGTCTTGATCTTGATTTCGTATAAAACAAAGAATTGATTCAAATTGTTTGTAAGTGATAAATTGATATAAGTACCCAAATTTAATTGACAACTGTCAACAAGTATTTTCCAATATAGATTAATTCAAATTATTTATAATTCCAACATTATATCCATTTTAAAATAATCTAACAAAATAAGTTATTTGGATGTGAAATATAAGTTTACCTAACTGTTACCTTTCAACAAGTTGCAATTATAGATTATTACAAAATTCGTAAAATTCTAAATAACTGTAATTAATGTAAATCGATTAGAGATAATTAACTAAATATTTATAATTCAATCATAGATTTTAGTGTATTAAATTTCGATAAGTCTAAGTATCAATAGAAAAAGTATATGGATTATCTATCTAAGAAATATCAGCAGATTTTACATGGTAATACAGGTATCCCCCGACTTACGAACTCCCGGTCTTACAAACAAAATTCTAAAAGCTCTAACTTGTTATATTGAGATATATAGTGATAACAAAAATTAACTGTCCATACAAAAATTGATAATTTCTTTAATAAAATATAATATTTTTGGAAGATGTACTATCTGTTTTGTTGCATTTGTTTCTTTTGTCATATTTTATTAAATAATTGTGATGTCTACATCGAACAAATTCGCCTTACGAACAACCCTTTGGAACGGAATTTTTGTTCGTAAGTTGGGGGATACCTGTACTCAAAAGTGTATAAATCATGGTAGTGGTCTGCGGGGTTCAAAATGTTTAGTTTTGTGGTTCATGAGGTTGAAAAGGTTGATGACCGCTGTTTTAGATTAACGATGTTCAATGACGTTTGACGAAAACAAATCAATAAAATTATTAATTGAGTTTGAAAAATTTATAGATTTGAGTTATTGTCCAGTCAATAGTCAGACGCTCGGAGGTTCTCAACTTTAACCCTGACTTTAATTTAAAAAGATGTAAACGCGGAAGGGGTAGTGGCAGTGAATTCATTTCGTATTAGCGTCACGGCGCTCTAAGGACGGAACCCCTCAATATCGTGTCTGTCTAACTGCATCGTATACTGAATTATTGAGTGGATTCGATCACCTCATTTTTCCATATAAACTTTGATATTGCACAGGCACACTTCGCCCGAAAACTAATCTCATCTAATATTCAGCATCGATCCGACGAGATTAAACAAAAATAGGGAAAGGAATTTCCGCGATGAACGCAAACACACACATCAGATTTTCAAAAAATTATTTCCATAAATCAAAACTTGACACGTTGTTGACCGGACACGATTCGTGTTTTAATTCCCAAACGTTGTTGGCCGTTTACGAGTTAACTCTTGTTTGCACTTGTATTAACTATTCAATTTATGAAACCCAGGGCATTATAGAATATTGCAAAAGCTTTGACCATCGTGTTTATGTTTTTATTACAATTTGATGACATTTTCAATAAATTATCTGATTATCTGCGTGATTTTTAAATAAATTGTATTGTAACATACGAGGTTAGTCTCGATCTAAAAATATCTTTATATCTCAATATTGTCTTCTTTTAGCTCTATACACTTTTCTCAGCGATGTGTAACAGCTTTCAAGCTCTACAAAATAGCCAGCAACTATAGATTTTGTTGGAAAATCTTTTACCATCAAGCAATTTTTTTAAGTTTAGAAAGAGAAAATAATCCGAGTGGGCTAAATCTGCGCGAGGAAGCAATTCGAACATTAATTCATTGATTTTGGCCATCGCGATAACGGATGTACGAACTGGTGCATTGTCTTGATTGTTACCAAACGCGGCACCCATCTTGCACAGCTTCCTCATCTCTAAGTTTTCAGTCAATGTGCAATGTATAGCACACTTTCAGTCGACGGCCATCCAATACTATTTTGTGGATGTTCTTTACCTTTTCTGTTCGCGCACTGCGATGTTTGTCTTGACATCTCGTACTACCTCGTTAAAGTCTGCCACCCAATATTTTTTGTTGTAAGCGAAGGAACAAACTCCCCGAGAGTAGAATCTAGCTCGGCTTTGATATTGGTTGAACTGAGATCTTTTAAATCAGTGATTCCCAAAGTGGTCTATATCGACCCCCAGGGGTCTATGACAACCTACAAGGGGTCTACGTTAGCGAAAAAAAAATTCATGGGGGTCCATGAAATGAAAATGGGGCTCCACGATAGTGGATCTCAACATACTGATAATACCTATTTACTTACATTATACTACCTTATAATATAAAGACATATACATTATTTATAAAAATACCAATGAAGTAAAAAATGTATTATATATGTTTATAAAATTGTGTAAGTTGTAGGATGTAGGCATTCGCTTTGTGGTCGCCAAACATTTTGAACTTGTAAAAACCTGCACATAATGATATACCAGTATCATCTTGTTACAATCATACGCGCAGTCTCAGAGCAAAGATCTTAATAATTATAAAGATGTCCCAGTATAAATAATAAATTTACAAAAAATCAATATCATGTAAGTAGGGGGTCTACCCAAAACCGAAAAACATGGCAAGGGGTCTACGACACAAAAAAGTTTGGGAACCTCTGTTTTAAATGAAAGTATTGTATCGCATAATGATGACTAATTTTTTCCATGTTTACAAATTCACTGACAGCGTTTACTATTGATGGCTATCACATAAATACTAAACAACGTAGCATCTTCAAACTTAAGCTTTATTCTTTTGATCATAGTAGTTTTAAACGTCTTTTTAAACGAGAGGTAGGATACTTCTGGGACTGCCCTTGTAACGGAAATCTTACAGAAATTTTTAAGAAGAGTGGATTGAAAATGATATTATACCAACCTAGGAGTATTATTCAATTATTTCATGTGTAACTTAGTAAAGCAACGGATTTACTTTTTGATAATGATATTTTTGATTTAGATATGTCCAAAGTTTCATTTCAAAATTCATCATGTACAAATAAATTTTATTGAAGTTTATTTATATTGTTTCACTGCCACATTCAATTAGGAAACAACAGCCCATGACATGTAATAGCTTCTGCGTAAAATTGCCGGTCGACAATGTGTTAATCTAACTTTTAGGCCTTTGGTTAATATGAAATCGATCAATTTAAGCAATCATTAAAACAAATTGGAAACTATAGTTGAGGTCTACATTGAGTAAATAATGCAACCTAAATAATATTGATAAACTGTGATTCATTACACATTTATGTATCAATTGTTATAAATAAAGTTACCAAAAATAAGAGACCAATATCAAATTATTTCTAAATTACACAGGAATTTCCGAAATATATACATTATTTACATTGGATATTTCGGAAGTCCCGTAATGCCTATTAATATATGTAATAAATATTCCTCTTGTGATATTGTTAAGCAACAAAAAAAATAGTATGTGAAAAAGTCAATAAATAAGTGTTTCTTGGAAACAAGAATTGAAAATAAAATTAGCCTCGAGTTTAAATATTGCCTGCAAAATCTACATATCTTGAATAATCCAAATCTTGGATGCACTCCAAGTCTCATGCAACGAATCGAACGCGAATATTGCGCACGTTTTATTTACAGTAATTAAGTGTCTTTATTTAATTTTTGTAATTTACAGCAGTTTAATTTACGTTTCAATTATTGTGTTCTACTGGATATTAACAAGTGTTTGCAAAATCGAAGATTAGAATTTCAATGCAATTTGTAAAACGTAATTGGTTCGAATGGGGTAAATACTAAAGAGATGTAACATTAATGGTTGGAATGCGTTTCGCTCGTAACTTGAGCAAATATAAACTGCGCGGTCCAAAAATAAAGTCAAATTTCCTTATTGATTCGTCCGTATCACTTTTATTTAAAGACAATATTTCAAGGGAAACGAGCTAATTACATGCACGCGTCGACAACACGTACGATGATGATAACAACGACGAATAATATCAATATTAACCGAACCATTAATAATAAAGACAAAAAAAAAGAGTCGAAATGCCTAGGTTAATAACAACCTCGAACGATTCGCCTACGCGTATTTTAATATTCCCTAAATAATGCAGAAAACTGAGCTCAGCTGCGGTCAGAATGAGTGTGTGTGTTTTCAATTCGTTTTCTCATTCAACGTAAACACGAAAGAGGGCTGCACACAATCGATGACACAACAATTTAAAGCTTGTGTCGATGGGGGAGTGAAACGCGAATCATCATCAATCGAATCCCACTTAAAAATTACCCCCTTATTCATAAAGGAGCAAAAACGAGGCCCAGGACCGATCCTCGAGGTCGATACGTTAATGACATTAACCTACTTGATGTCGAGATTACAGCTATTCACTCGTGGTTTCAGTAAGTTTTAAACTGTTGGTGATTGGGTAATTGCTCGAAAATAACTGTACTTGAGGAAAGAGAATGTTTTATTATGATAATCGCATTGAAATCGACCGAAAATAATAACAAATTCATAATTGAATTTACAAAAAAAAACAGTAAAAATAAAGTATAGAAATCGCTCTGCTGGTCGATCAAACCGACACGAATAAATAACGATCGATATTGAAATAATCATGGAATCCACTCC